TTCATACTGCCTCAAGGTTCTTCCATTGTAGCATGTGTCAGAATTTTCCTTCCACTGTAAAGGTGAATAGTACTGTATTGTTACTCGTGTCCCACATTTTACTCAGGGCATGATATTCATTTAGGCTGTATCCATCCTTAGATGTTCATAAGGCTATGATGGACCTAGGTGTTTAAGGATCTCTTTATTCATATGAGTTTTTCAGCGTGGTAAAATCTATTTTTGGTAAATTCTGTGGGTAGAAACATGTAGTAGTTAACCCATGCTTTCCTTCTGTAGCCACTTGGAAAGAAGCACTGTGGGATTGTGGAGAGGACAGTTGTGTGGAAGACACGTTAGAGGCACCCACGTATTTCTTCTTTTTACTTGGAGCCGCTGTTAGGAAGCTGTGGTCATTTGTCATTCCAAATGGCCTGGCACATGTGGTCCCATCACCTAGCAGTCTCTACATCCCGTAACAGCCTGCTGGAGGTGATTCCAGAACAGAGAAGAAAAATCTTTAATTTCTAAAATTGATTTGAATTAAAAAAAAAACTTTTTTAAAAATTGAGTAGCTAAGTGTCAGATTGTTTTCCATCATAAGATAGGATCTATGGCTTTCAAAATATGCTTCAAGGTAAAAGGCCAGTTGCAGACTGCATCATGGCATAGCTACCAGCTGCAACTTCTCCTTGAGAATGTGCTGATATGTGTGGCAGCATAAATACCAGGAGACTTATGTAATAAGTAGATACTGGTCTGTTGCATTTAAGAATCTTTTTTTTTTTTTTTTTTTTTTTGTCTTTTTCCTTTTTATCGGTACCGGGGATTGAACTCAGGACTGCCTGCTTACAAGGCAGGTGCTTACACTGCTGAGCTAAATCCCCAGCCCCCGCATTTAAGAATCTTAATCTGTATTTTCTTCTCCTGTTTTGGGTTTCTTTTTTTCCCTCTAAAATGGATTTTTTCCTTATCGCCCATGCTGACCTTGAACTTGTGATTCTCCTATCTCAGCCTCCCAAGTAGCTGAAATTATAGGCTTATACTACGGTGCCCAGTTTACTGTCTCATATGAGCTTGTACTGTGCCCTGAAAATTAGCCAAATAAGAGTTTTTATATTTAAAATATAAGGTTTTCTTTTAAAAACAAAACAAAACTCTACAAAAAGCTTCAATCCAAAATACCACATCCCTGGGTATTTTTCCACTTACCCATTTTATGCTAATCACAGCCATAAAAGGGATATTGAAGCCGACATGGCTAATCTCTAGGAGTCTTGATTTTTGTTTAGCTCAATTTAAGATTGTTAATAATTTTATATATCTATTATGCTTCCCCTCACCTCAGAGAAATGAAAAGATCCTGAAAGGGCAATATGAGAACCTCAGGCTATGTTAATAGTGACATAAGTAGGATTTAACTTGTCCTGGATGTTTGAAGTCACTTGGACCAAGACTATTTAATCCACAAGAACATTTGTTCTGACTCTCTAGTCGTAGTGATGGGTTAGGCGCATTTCCTGAGTTCTGGCTTGAATGGCCAAAGAAGTTCTATGGAACGTCTGTCTCCTGTGTTGTCCCATGGAGTGGGAACTCCTCTTAACCTTTACAAAGTCCAAAGGACAAACCAAAGCCTTACTGATATAGGCAGCTTATCAGGTGGCTCAGGGATAGGCAAGGAGCACAACCTGTGTGCTGGATTCTTGGCAATAGGTCCCTGACCAGAGTAGAAACGAGACTTCCTTTCAGGAGCTCACATTCAAGACAAGGGGACACATAGAAGATGCTAATTATATGTAATAAATTTTAAAAAGTCACAAGGGAATAAACTGTCATTATAAACAGAGTGGTTGGTCATTGGTGCCTTGCTAAGCAGCTGACACTTGAGCAAAGACTAGAGGAGAAAATATGGCTCAGAAAGTTTTGGGAAAGGGCACTCCAGGCAGAGGGGACTGGATAGATTGGCACAGAGGGCCTAAGGTAGGAGCGCCTGTCTTGTCTGATGAATGGTTAGGGCTGGGCCTCAGATGAGTGACTAGGAAAGGAAAGAATGAAGAGAAAATAGAGCAAAGTGTAGGGTGTGATTTGCAGGGCCTCCCTAGGAGCATAAATACTTGGCTTTGTGTGAGATGAGAGGCAGTGTGGGATGTTGCTTACTGGAGAGGTATGGTCTGACTTGGGCCCTTTGCTGTCCAGGACAGGTTAGGATGAGGATTCCACACAGGGAGGCCAGGTAGCTGCTAGGCCAGGCAAACCACCGTGGAAGCTTCCACCTGACATGAAGATTGATGTCATCAGAGAGATGGAGAGATAGATAGACAGAGACAGAAATAGGGATCTGATAGATAGATAATGATAGATAGCTATAAACGTGAATGTAACTTTTAATTATAAAGGATTTCTGGACCGACTGGATGTATGGAAATGGGAAAGAGGAACCAAAGATAACTTTCCTGGCAGGTCTTGTGTTGCAGAAAGAAATGTGAGTTTCTGAATGCCATAAATTCAATGTGTTTAAAAGCCTGGTGGCAGATTATCAAGAGGCTCTTCTGAAACATGCATATAAGGTTTTTCTCAGAGAAGGGTATTTGTGTATCATCAGTGTGTCTTCTAGTTTGGTCAGGGGAGAAGGGTGCTCTTAGAGAAAGGCGGTGGTCTGCATGAAGTGCAGACAGAAAGAGCTGCAGGTCATTCACGGGTTCTAGAGCAGGCTGCAGCTCCAGCAACTTTGAGGTCTGGCCACTCACAAACTCCTGTTCCCTTACTCCCGCAATCTGCTCCTCTTCTTGGCATGATAGAAATAACAAACTCTGCAACCCCATAGTTAAAAGAAGGACCCCTTCTATCACCCCCATGTCCGTGTGCTTTTAAAAAACAACTGTGCTGGGCTGGGGATGTAGTTCAGTGGTAAAGCACTTGCCTGGCCTGCACAAAGTCCTGGGAAGCCTAAATACTATAAAACATTACAAAGGGAAACAATCCAAAAATACTCACAAACTTCATTGAGGTATAATGTATGAACCATTTAGTTCATCTTTTTAAATGTGGGATCCAATAGTATTTAGCATACTTATAAGTTGGTGCAACTATCACCACAATCTATTTAAAACATATTCATACCTCAAAAAGAAATTCTATACCATTTAGTGGCCCCTTGGGTGTTCCTTTCTCCCCATTTCTCCTGGCAATCCCTAATCTATTCTCTATCTCCATAGGTTTCCATGACATGTTTTATGTATGGAATTATCCAGTATGTGAGTTTTGTATATCTTGTCTCTCTCATTCAGCATGTTATTTGCCAGAAAATATGTATGAATATTTAATTTCTTTTTATTGCCAAACTTGCTTGTTATTTTGGCACAGAAAACATTTTGGGAGAATTAAAAAAAACAGGTGCACACACAAACAATAGAAATGTGTATATTACAGACATACTAACCCACATGTTACAAAGGGAATTTCTGTCCCCAGAGAACTAACGTTGTGTGTTAGTGTATGTGTTAATTTGTTCACCTTCACAACTGAATACAGACTCCACAGAGTTTTTGAGTAAATCTCAAGACTTAGTACCTTTCTGGCGGCTTGCTGATTTTCTTTCATTCAGTGATTTAATGATTATTTATTAACCATTATGTTCCAGGTCCTATACCAGGCACAGGAGATAAACACAGTGAGGTAGACTGGGGAGAGAAATTGACATTAAAAAAAACTGAGCAAAAGAGAAATGAAATAAACTGATATTAAAATTATAATCCATGATAAGTGCCTTGAAGGATTTATATATTACTCAGAGTGGAAGGAGGGCTTACTTCAAAATCGGTAGAGATGAACACAAAATTCTATTGCAAGATGAATGGATAAACTAACTGTGGTACATCCTCGCAATGGGGTACTACTATTCAGACTTAAAGTTAATTTTGGTATATGCTATATAGGTGACCCTTTGAAGACATTATGCTAAATGAAATAAGCCATGCACAGAAGATAAATATTGCATGATCCCACTTAAAGTAAGTACCTAAAATAGTCAAAATTATAGAGGCAGAAAGCTCACCAGTGGCTACTAGCAGCTAGAGAGGGGCAAATGGACAGGTACTAAATGAATACAGAAGTTCAATTTAGGAAGATGATGGCTATCCCACTTGTGAATATGGCTAATATGTGAGTATGCCAGATATCACTGAATTGTACACTTCAAATGGTTAAAGTGATAAATTTTGCTATGTATATTTTACCAAACTTTAAAAAAGTACCTTTGGATGGTCTATGGAGGATCCTGAGCTTAAATCAGGGCCCAAAGGGTGAGAAGGCACCAGTCGTGGATGAGTGGTCCATTCAACGGGAAAAGTATGCATGAGGCTCAGAGGAAGGTGGGAGCTTAGTGCTGTACTGTAGGAGCTGTGAGGCCACAGTGGCTGGGGTGAAGGGACGTGGGGTGCTGGCATGAGGCAGACTGGGCCAAGCTGTAGAGGCTCTGGGGGAAGCCTCTCAAAGACACCTTAAGCAGCAGAGTGACGAGCTTTGATTTCTGGTTTGAGTGATAAGCCAGACTGTAAGGTAGAGAATGGGTTGGGAAGAAGACCTAAGCAACCAGAGGTTAGGAGGCTGCTGCAGCTTCCATAAGGCTGAACTCTGGGCTTTGGGCTGGGAGGATGGGCTGAGGTAAGGAGGGTGGGGGTCAGGGCTGCCCCAGAGAAGTGGAATCTTGGTTTTAATGGGGGATTCAACTTGAAGACCTAAGAGAAACATCTCAGACTTCTAATGTTGATTGATGATGATGTTGCTGAGACTAAGTAGATTTGGAAAGTGGATTTAGCTTGGATCATATTTGGCTTGAGTGACTGAGATACACAGGAAGGGCAAACGTTAAGCTTTGATAGAGCCAAAAATCAGGCTAAGGATTGCTTTGCAAATGAAACTTGGAAACTCTTGGATCATTCTTGTAACTCTGAACTATGAAATATTTGCATACAAAGATAAAACTAGCTAGTGCCTATATTTTCTCAGTGTTGTATCTTTAGTTTGATTTGTCAACAGACAAGAGATAGGGGCTTCCGGGAAGATGACAAAGCAGTAAGCAGCAGAACAAAGAGCCTCTCTGAGAGATACCGTCTAGCACCGGGAATATACCATCGTGAGGAAGACAAGAAAGAAGTAAGTGGGTCCGTTGGACCCAGGAAGAGTCTGAAGTCTGGATCAAGCCCATAGAAGGAGTAAAAAGAAAAACCTCAATGAAGAAGGCTGTAGCTGGTGGTGCCTTCACCAGGAGCCGGATTCACTGCATGAGGGGAGGTGTTGGAACATGGGGACGTGTGGCCATAGTGACAGTGGCGGCTGGCAACCCCAGAGGCCTCTGCAGAGAGACTCAGCAGTGGAAGGGAGCAGTGGACGTGGAGGACTCTACTGGCTGGTGGTGAGTACAGAGGACTCTGTCCTCTTACTGGAGAGTGCTATTAGCTGGGAGCCGTCTTGAAGTTGGGTCAAAGTAAGGCCAGAACCAGAACTTTTGCCGGCTTCCGGCTTCCTCCAGCAGATCCTAGCTAGGCACAGACCTGTGGAAATTGCTTGGACCCTGGTGAGCCCAGTGAGTCTGGTCTCAGGGCAGGCCTGCCAAGGTTGTCTACTACTCCACCCATGAACAACTCCTGGCTTGCAGGGATACAGTGGCATGATTTGGGATGCTGTCTCCACAGGCTACTAGTGAATCCAGAGATAATCCTGGAAGTGGACTTTTTTTTTTCATTTCTTTTCTTGTTTGTTTGTTTTATTCATTTTTTAATTTCTCTTTCTCTCTTATTGCTTTCTTTCTTTTTCTTTTCTTTTTTTTTTTTTTTTTCTTGAGTATGAGTGTGGTTCCTAACCTCCTTGTGTATGGTTTTTTTTTTTTGTCTTTCTCCTTTTTATCAGTACCAGCGATTGAACTCATGACTCCCTGCTTGCAAGGCAGGCGCTTATGCCGCTGAGCTAAATCCGCAGCCCTGTTTTGTTCCGTTATACTTTTATCTCTCCCAGCTTTCTTTTCTCTCAGTTTTCTGCGTCAGTTTCTCCAAGTTGGTGGGATCCATCTTTGTTCTCCAATCTACTTGTAATCTCTTTCTCCTTTCCAACTTCTTTGTTTTCTCCTTAATCCATTTTGAATCTTAACCCATGAGGACAGAATTGACTTATTATGGACTTATATATAGTATACAATTGTTTTGCATTCTGTTATATGGTTACAAATTCAGTTCATTTGGTTAAAAGTTGCAAATTAGGAGTTGGCTCAGTTTACTGTTTTATAGGCTGTGTTTGATGCTCTTGGTACCACTACAGCCAAAATTGACGTAATTGTTCTAAATAACTGTTGGCCTTGATAATCCATGACTGAGACTGACTAAGGGTCACAGAAAGTACTGTGGCATGGTGCCAAAGACCCAGGGACTAGGCCAGGTGAGCAATAGCTTCTCCTCTTCAACAAACTGAGGAGGTAAGATCTTCCAACAGATTCAGAGCCCAAAAACCAGCTACACCTGCAAGATACCTGAGAGAACTGATCATCACTTGGGTGTCCTAAATACCACCAATAAAGCAACCCACCATAGGCAACTAACAAGTGTCACTCCAGGAATTAAACTAAAAAGACAAGAAATAAGAAGATGCTTAAACAAGACACAACCTCAGACACCCAGTTCATCAAAGGCAAACACAGGGGCAATGAGACTGGAAAATCTGATAGCTCCCTACCAGGTATCTCTGCAGTGGTAACCAAGCAATTGAATGAGGCTCTGGAAAAAATGAAATCAGAAATAATCTCTCAAATAACTACAAAGATGACAAAAATACACATCATGCTTAGTGATGCTAGAGCAGACACAGACAAAAAAATAGATGAGCTTAAGAAAATTATGGAAATGGAATCCATAAAACAGATTCAAGCAGATATCCAGGAGAATAAAAACTCCACTGAAAATAAATTTGAAACAGATTAGGCCAAAGTGAGGAAAGGATCTCAGATATTGAAGACAGGCTTGCAGTTAGTGACTAGGAAAAGAAAGATTTCTCAAAATTAGCAAGGGAACATGAGAAATCAATCCAGCAGCTTCTAGGTGAAAAAAAGAATGACTTAGATTAATTGGAGGCGATGAACAATCAGAAGATACCACAAATGACATTAAAAACATGTTCACAGACATCACAACAGAAAACTTTCCTGGTAGAAAAAAAGAACTTTACATACAAATAAGTGAGGCATATAGAACTTCAATTAGCTGTGATCAGAAAAATCTACATCCAGGCATATCATAATCAAGATTCCAGAAATTCAACAAAGAATAGAATTTTAAAAGCTGTTAGAGAAAAGAAACAAATCACTTATGAAAGAAAGCCTATCAGCATTACAGCTGACTTCTCAGCACAAACTCTCAAATCAAGGAGAGCTTAGAGTGAAGTACTCCCAGTTCTAAAGGAAAACAACTTTCAACCCAGATTGATGTATCCCGCAAAACTATCTTTCAAAATCGATGGAGAAGTAAGGGATAATAAGGACTACAACTTCATAAACTTCAACAGAAGAAATCCACCAGGAAAGGCAAACAATTAGAGGAAAGGAAAAAGAAAAAAAAGAAGGGGGAGCCAATAATAGGAAAATAACATGACAAAGATAAATCAATTCACCAGTCAAAAGACACAGACTAGCAGAATGGATCAAGAAGCAAGATCCAACAATATGCAGTATTCAGGAAACACATTTAATAAAGAAATTTATAGACTGAAAGTTAAAGGATGGAAAATACTATTCCATGCAACAGGAATTCAGAAAAAAAGCAGGGGTTGCTATTCTATTTGCAGATAAAGTAAATTTTAAGCCAAGACTGATTAAGAGAGATAAAGGTCACTACATCCTGGTCAAGAGAACAATCCAAGAGGAAGAAATAATCATAAATATATATGGAACAAATATTAGTGCACCCACACCAACCAGGACTTTTAATCTCATCTAAGCCTGGGAAGTCCCAAATCATTCTTCAGGAGCACCTTCCAATATAGCCCTTTCTTGAGGAACTTCTTGAATACCCTAAAGTGAGTTAGCAATTCCCTTCTCTGGCCCCCTATTTCTTACTCCCCACTCCAGCTATCCTCAGTCACTTATCCACTCAGGCAGCAACTCCTCCCACTCACATCCCGCTCACATCATTTACACAGCAAGCTTCGGCCCTTTCCTACTACTGAGCTACCATGAGCAAGTCCAACACGGCCCCTCCTTGGGCAGTGTCCAGCATCGCAGGTGCAGCATGCTCATAATCCCACAAACAAAGGCTCCACTCACATGAGTACAAGGAGAGAGTTTTGGGAGAATCTTTACTTGATGTTATCAGATTACCCTCAGGAAATGACACTGCAGCCCAGAAGCCAAAGATAAGAAGGAATGATCCCAAGGAAGCATGTTTCAGGTGAGAAAGCAATTATGGTGAAGCTGTGAGGACAGAAAGGTCTTCTGCTTGAGGGAAGCTGAGGAGGACAAGTGAGCGGAAGCAGCTGTCAGAGCAGACCCGGGCCTCGGAGCTGTGGAGATGAAGTGGTTGTTTTTACAGCTACTCAACAGCTTTGCAGCTGGGTGTAAGTGCGACCCAGGATCTAACTGGCTACTCTGAGTTGAAAGTATTTAGGTTCAAAATGGAGACATCACTTAGGAAGCTATTGCAAGGGTCAAGGGAGGGAAGATGATAATTTGAACTAAGTGGATGGCAGTGGAGACAGAGGTTACCCATTAGAGCCAAGGTATTCTGCAGGTAAAAACAGTGGATCTTAGCAATGATTGGAGATGGAAGTGGGGTGCAGCATGGAAGAAAAAGAGGTAAAGGTTCTAGTTCATGTTTCTGGTGTAGCCGTCAGCAAGAGAGGAGCCATCTTTGAACCTGGTTGGGGAGTTCAGTTCTTGGTGAATTGGGTTTGGGGTACACAAGAGATACACATCATGGAGTGGGTTTGTTCTGTGGGTAAGTTCTCCATTTTTAACAGGCAGATTCTATTGATACCACTGTTCTGTAGAAAACAGGGGGAAACCAGAGACTATGTTGAAATGACAGTAGTTCTGTCATCATGGGCTCTTTGTGCATGACAGAGCCACTTCTTCTGCCTCTTAAATACTTAATGTTTCTTGTATACTGTCTTATTGGGGCTTCGTTGATAGCAGCCTCTATATGGCATATTCAGTTTTTTAAAAGTTCTTATTCTCTATGGGCCTTCCCTATATTATAAGAATAGAAACAAAAAAGGACTAGTTAAAAAAGACTAGTTAAACCACATCTATCACCCCTCTCCATGTGCAGGGCATCGGTGTCAAACAACCATAGTAAGCATGTTGGTGCTTTTGTTAAACATCAGGCCACTCAGTATTATCTCATCCATGCCTGTGTTCTCTGTAATCTTGTGTCATCTCTGTTGCAGTTTTTGGTAGAGCAATTTTGTCTGGATGGTGACTTCTCTGTCACTTAAACTTCTAGAGACCTCCCTGCCTCCTACCAGCCCCTCTGCCTTCAGAAAAGACAAAATAGAATTAGTCCAAACCAGTCTTCATTGGGAACAGTGAATCCATTCTCTTAAGAAAATTACAGTCACACTATCTGAAGCTTCTTTAAGATCCAGATACCACAGGTGACTGAGGAATTTTCTGTGTGACTGTGTTGTCCATTCTTTACTTGCCAAGCAAGAGATCTTTAGATTTGGCTATACTTTTAGGGTCACATGAAGAGCATCAGCAATGATGATATCTGTGTTCTCCTCTCTGTGTCTCTCCCTTGTGAGACCCTGACTAATTATCTAGGTAGGCACACTTACGTCTTTTGAGGGTATAATGAAGACAGGAAACTGGAAGACATGAGAGTCTTGTATCGGATGACATTTTGGGTACCAGAAATGTCCATTGTGAGCCTGTGGGAAAAGTGATGCTCTGTTAGGAGCTATCGTACCATGACATGTAGTGAGTGAGAGCATCACCATGTCTTCTTCATCCCTAGGGTCCATAACCAAGGAGATGCTGAGTAACTGAGGAATTACCTCCTTCCTTTCCACTTTATAAACAGGGACACTGAGGTACAGAGAGACCAAATACAGGTTCAGCACTCTTGGCTCCCCTAACCTTTCCGAGCTCTGGATTCATCTTGTAAAAATAACGAATTTGGAGATTTTTCTCTAACAACCCTGAGAGTTCTAAAATAAGTGGGTCTATTCTCTTATTTTTAACTGCTTTGTAGTTTGACAAAACTCTTCAAGTGAGTGAAATGGTCTCAAGAATGAAAATATGATCAAAAATAAAAATATGATCAAAGCAGCCCCTGTATTTGTAAGAATAAAGATTTAAATCATATCTGCCCTTGATGAGGAACCAGGCCCTGACTACTCAGCCTTGAGATCATCCCGATGAGCCTTTGGAAA